GGCGGTGCCCGGGGCCCGGCGGCTCAGGGGTGGAAGCCCCAGGCCGCGGGGCCCTGGAGGGGGGCCAGGCCGTTCCCAGCGGGGCAGAAGCCCCCGGCCACGGGGCCCTGGAGGGGGGCCAGAATCCCTCCTATTTTTGAAAATCCTTTTCCTGATTCTATTTAGTACCTTATTGTCTTTTCAGAGTCTTTTCTTCCTTCCTTTTATATTTCCTCCTCTTTCCTTCCCTCTCTTTCTTTCTTCCTTCCTTCAACGAGTATTCATGGCAGTCCTACTATGTACCGGGCTTCTAGGCATTTAGTATTTATCAGTGAACAAATAAAGATATCTGTCTTCTAGAGCTTTCCATCTAGCTGGGGGACGGGGGGGGAGGGGGGGAATCAAGTCACAATATAAAAAACTATATGGTGTGTAAACTTAAACATGATAATTTATAAAGAAGTGGAGCAAAGGGGCCAGCAGGTGGCATACTGGTTAAGTTGTACTCCCACATGGTCGAATGCAGTTTGAGTCCCAGACCTGGAGGCTTGAAACTCATGCTGGGTGCATGTGCATGTGTGCCCAAAATCCCAGAGGAAAATGGAGGAGAAGGGATTGTGGCATGGCCATCTCCCCTGGGGGAACCTCTCGCTTTCTGTCTCTGTCTCCTCAGCAAGTGCACATGCCCTATAGCAAAAATAAAAAAAAGAAAGAAAGAAAGAAAAGAAGTGGAGCAGGGAGGAAGGGGATGAGGTTTTAGGAAAGCAAATTAGAACTGTAAATAGTATGGCGAGGTAGGAATCAATGAGGCGTGGAAGCTGACTTAAAGGAAGGGAATGAGAGAACCTTGTGGAGATAATGGGAGAGCATCCCAGACAGAAGGAATAGCCAGTGCAATATCAGGAGACTGTCTGACACGTTTCATGAGTACTAGAAGTCCAATATGAATGGATAGAATAACCAAGAGGGGGTATAGTAGGTATTGGATCAGAGCAGTAACATAGGAACCCAAGTACTATTACAAGGATGATAGCTTAATCCAGAGAAGCAGGGAACTGTTCATTTTTAAATATGTAAAATGTTTATTATGGAATTGTTTATGTCAAACTGGAAACAACCCGAATGTCCACCAACAGTCTAATGATTTGGGTGTATATCAATACAAAGAATACCTTACAGCAATAAAAGCTAGCAAACTACAGCTGCAAACAATAACATGAATAAATGTCATCAACACTTTTCTTAGGGTTTCCTCACAGTGCCTTCAAAGAATCAGCTGGAATGCTCAGTAGACAGAACGCTTTATACTACTAGAATCTATTAGGTCATCGGGAAAGTCATGATGTATTTTTTCTGTACAAAAATGCATCATGTCTTCCCTGGTGATCCAATAGTACTATGTTCAAAATTGCTTTGAATGTCAGCCACAAGCTTGGGAGTTCTAGAATTTCTGTGTGCCCACTGGGTAAGTGTTCCCATGGTTTGGTCTAACAGGCCTAACACTGGCCCAGAGGGAATCCCACCTCTGGGTGATCCAATGGACAGAAGTCACCATGCTTTCCATTGGGATGGGATGAGGAGACCTGAGTTGAGGAGGTGGAGGGAATGAATATTAAGTATAGGCTTTGTGGGCAAATAGCCCAAAATCAGAACAAGAGCATTTTCAAAGTTT